CTCCTGCTGATTCTTGTGGGTATTCAGTGCACATCTTTGACGGCTGTGTTGGAATTAGACAGGTTCTTTACCACAAAGACAGTGAGGCACGTGCACACAGAGCCCTAGTCCCATGCTGAGAACCTTAGGTGTGCAAATTTACAGGGTTTCTATGGACTCCTGCCTATTTAGCAGGGATTATTCAACAGATGAAGTCCACGAGACCTGATGAAATGCATCTGAGGATGCTGAGGTATATGGCCAATGGCATTACAAAGTCATTCTTTGAAAGCTTTTGGTAATTGGGGAGATTCTCAATGCCTGAAAAAAGACAAATGTCACACCCATCTTCAAGAAGCGCCAGAAGAAGGATCCAGGGAATTTTAGCTCAGTCACCCTAACCTCAGTACCTGGGGATTACAAAGAAAATCTTTCTGGAAGGCATGTCTACGAACATGAAGGTGATTGAGAACAGCATGGATTTCCCAAGGCAAATCATGCCTGACCAACCTGGCTGCCTTCTAAGATGTGGACGGGGAGAGGGCAGGAGTGTTGCCTTCCTTGACCTGCATGAGGCCTTTGAGACAATCTCCCAAAGCATCCTTGTAGCCAAACTGGAGAAATACAGACTGAACAAGTGGAGTATCAGGTGGGTGAAAAAGTGGCGGGACTGCCGGGTCAAAGGCTTATTATGGTCAGTGGTACAAAGAGGCCAGTACTATTTACGTTCTGTTAACAAGCTGGATGATAAGACAAAGTACACGCCCAAGAAGTTCACGGATGATTACAAACTGGGGATAGTGATCAATGACGGTCACTCACAGGGATCTCAGGAGGCTGGAGAAATGAGCTCAGGGAAACCTCATGAAGGTCAGCAAAGGCAAATGCAAAATCCTGCACTTGGGAAGAAGGAATAACCTCATGCAACAGCACATGGTAGGGGCTAATGGCTGAAAAGCAGCTTTGCAGAAAAGGACTTGGGGGTAATGGTGGACAAAAAGTTGAAGATGAGCCAGCAATACGCCCTTGTGGCACAGAAAGCCAACAGCCTGCTAGACTGTGTCAACAGAAGTCTAGGCAGCAGGTCAAGGAAAGTGATAATTTCTTTCTATTTCAGCACTTTTGAAGTCATATCTAGACTAGCATTGCCAGTTTGGGGCTCTCAGCGCAAGGAATATATTGACAAACTGGAGCAAGTCCAGAGGAGGGCCATCAACATGACCAGGGTATACAAGGAGGACTGAAGAACCCGGATTTAATTAGGTTGAAGAAGGCTAAGAGGGCATCTAATTTCTGTCTACAAGTACTTACTGTTTGTAAAGGAACCAGATTCCTCTCGGAGGTGCACAGCAAATGGATGAGGGGCAATGAACACAAGTTGCATCTAGGGAAATTAGATATTAGGGAAAAAAAAACCCACAAGGAAGATGAAAAAACTTTGGAACAGGTAGCAAAAAGACGTTGTGAATATCCATCCTTGCAGACATTGAAAAATATTTGGCTGGACAAGGTTCTGAGGAACCTGATCTAATGTCAAAATTGGATCTAACTTTGAAATCACCTTTTAATTGAGTGAGGGGTTGGACTAGGTGATGTCCAGAGGTCCCTTCCAAACTAACCTCTTCAATGATTTTATATATTTTCTTGCATGAAGCATGAAAAGCCAGAGATGCCTGTCTCAGGGATTCACAAGACTTGACACCTTTGTAAGACTTTTCAGTTGTCTACTGTCTGTTTACGCACAATTAATGGAGCAAACTTACAGTAGGAAGAGAAAGAGCAGGATCTAAAGCATTCTCACATCCCTCCAATTTCATATGTGCTTCATTGCCTGCCCTGGTACTTTACTGGGAAAAAGGAAAAAATTACAATCAATTTTCTCCCGTAGAGCTGACATTGAAGCTGTTGCCCCTTTCATGAACCCAGACAGAGCTGGGAAAGGACTGATGTCATCAGCCCCATAGAGAAAGGAGAAGCACTCCCTTAATGGGGAGCTCCCACGCGTGGGCACTGTGAGCCAGCTCCTGCTAGCTCCCAGGCTAATGGCTTTCAGAATAAGAGCAATCACCTCATCCTGGTTTGTGGTACCTGGCAGACATCCCACTCAGCAGCATCAGCAGGCTGGCTCGAACTGGAAGGGGTCTGAGTCATTTTAATTCTGTAGGGTTAGGATGGATTTGGCAATACAGTAATTTGTGTAAAAAAAAAAAAAGTAGGCGTTAATATTTTAAACTGCTTTCTGTTTGTGTAGGCCCTGGGGCAGCAAGAGAGAGGCCTAAGGGAGATTAAGTGGAGCAATTTATACTTTCTTCCCACACCTCATCTGTTTGTATGTGTGTGCGTTTGTGTGTGTGTGTGTGTAGGCATACTGCATCCAGAATCCCACTAACCAATGGGCAATGAGTTTAAATTAGTATAGTTCAGGCCTGATCTAACTTGCACTGTTTGTGCCTAAGATGTGTTTCTAAATCAATATACTTAAAACAATGCTGGCTCAGAAGCTGGGACAATTCTGGCTTCAGGAAGTCTGTTCTTGCCTGACCTGAGTAAAATGAATCAGGCCTGCTTAAACAAGGCTTTGTATAATTCTCATTAATAATTTAAAATACAATTTGCATTGAACTCTCCCACTTTTTTAAGTAGGCAAGTCATGAAACACCGGCATGTTAGAAAACAGAGAGACTGAGGCAAAACCAAAGAACAGGAGGGTTTAAGTGAGAAAATGGCACTTCCTACCTTTCTCATATTACCTGGGGATACAGAGGGGTATATTATATATTAGGGTGGGTAAGTCAGACTACTCATCCCAGCTTCAACTCCATTAATCTCTGACATGACTCCAAGACAGAGTTAACTGAGCAGATCCAAGTTACTTCAGCTTCCCAAAAGTCCTCCAAACTCATTCCTGACTACAACCCTGGCTTGTAATCCTCTTTTCTTTCTCACAGCTACATAATAAAGCCTGAAACAGTGGCTTGCTTCCCTTGACTCATTGCTCGTCTGTGCAAAAGATCAGCAGGATTTCTTTCCTTATCTACTACTGTGAAACAAGTGCCAGCTAGATGCTTTATTTGAGAATGTAAGAAGGGAGTTTTACTAGTAAGAGGTAAAATCCTACTGTTTTAACAGGTAGGACTTTGGAGAATTTTCAGGGGACTTGACATCTCCCATGCACTGTGACACACATGTAACTGGGGAGAAGCAGACAAGGTCCATTTTATGGCAATGCTGTTTTACAGCATCCTCCTGGATGTGGTTTGCCCCTTAGGGGGAGTCATTTCCAGGAACTGTCTGAGGCATTCAGCTATGACCTATGGCCAAAAAGAAACTATAAAAAATACAGACTCCTACTTCCCACTCAGAATCTTCAGTTTTGCTTTAATATCCTCTTTTACTTCTCTCTGTCAATCGAAGAAACCATTCCAATTCCCCATCCCTGGGAACATGTAAGGTCAGGTTGGATAGGGCTCTGAGCAACCTGATCTAGTTGAAGATGTCCCTGCTCACTGCAGGGGGGTTGGACTAGATGACCTGTAAAGGTCCCTTCTAACCCAAACTATTCTATGATTCACCAAGAAACCTTTCCAATTCACTCTAGTTCCCCCAAGAAAACCTACATCCAGGCCCACAGATCTGCCACATTGCCTGGCCTCTTCTCCTTTCAACTGCTGAGTCCCCTTCCGCTTGCAGAGAGAGCAACTAATCCAAAATAAATCTTTATATCATCGGCTTCTTACTATGGGCTTCATCTGTCCATCTCCAGAAAAGTCTGAGTTCTTGGTTCCTCCATTCAAGACCTGAATTCAAAAATGTATCTATCTCCTGTGTTCTCTTTTTCTGTGCTCCTCTCCCCGCTGAAAGCTTTTGTGGGTGGCAAGAACACCTAATGAGTCTTCTTGTATAGAAGTATCTATCTCACCTCTGAAATGCCTTAAGCTCCTCTGCTTCTACGCCCTCTTCATGAAAGTGTCTTTGAGCAGGACCGTGCATCCCATTACACCAACCATATTCCCACAAGCCAGGGTCTCACTCCCTCTTGCGCCATGACAGATATGAACAAGCTGTTACACACACTGCCAAATATTGCTAGATGGGTAGCAGATGCAGAAATAGTGCTGGAAAGTCTGAAAGAACCAGCATTGTGTGAAAAATGACATTGGCATTTCTTTCAGCCTCTTTCAAGTACAAGTGAGGATAAGCCCAACCGACTGCAAATAATTAAAACAACAAACCTTGGAAATTTCTGCATGTTGCAAGCAGGACTAGACAAAAGAAGAAAAGCTGAAGGGACTCACAGGAGAAGAACTGGTTATTTGTAATCACTTGGGAAGATCCTGTCCCTGTCGGATGGGCAAACAGCCCTTCCAATGGTTTAAAGCAAAGTCAGCACCAGACCAGAATGCCACCAATATGCAGCTTGCATCCCCCTGCGCATTTGAGCAATTCTGCTGACTGCTGAGCCCCACAGGGCCTGGGAGACATGCTGGTTATAACCCCAACTTTGCTGCCGTCATTTCTCTTTGGTGCTGGAAGAGTTACGTTAACCACTCTAGGGGAGAACATATCTGTTCTCAGATTACCCTGGAGTTAGCATCCATGGAGAGAAAGAAACCTTTTTGTTTGTGCATGTAATAAGGAGGATAACAATAGAGGGACAATGCCAGGATCAGCCAATGACCATCTGGCTCATGGAAACCGAAAGCCTTGCATAACTGTTAAAATGTCATCATTGTTTTAGCTAAATTATAGAAAATTAATCTCGAAATTACCTTAATAATCTAAAGCACGTGATCCATTTTCTCCCTTGAACAACATTGCTGCAGTGAACAGTTAAATTACTAAAAACAATGGAAACTCACTTTTCAACTTAGACTGCTGTGCTTTTGTTTATATTTTTAAATGCTTATGTGTAAACTCTAAAATTTATCTCACATCTGAGTATTGCATAATAAACAGTCTTGTGATCTTAATCACCTTTCCTTATGAGAAGGTGAAGGTTAAGTTTTCCTAACTGTACTTACCCTGAATATCATCATTGAATGTACAGTATCTGTTGCGGTATTTATTGAGAAGACGAAAAGCGTTAGCATTGGCAAAATCTTCAAACTGGATCAGACAATTCATGCCGTACCTGCAAGTTAAAGGGTAATTAAAAATGAATAAAAGTATTTCCAGAACATAGGATGATATATACATCTTTTACCAGGACAATGCAGCTATAGTCTCTAGTACAGAGATAAAAGTATCATAAGAGAAATGCATCACAATAACAGCCAACAGGATCACACCCTTCCCAAGGTCAGAAATGTGGAATCTCTAAGAATAAATTGTATTCATAATCTGCCTATTCAAGAGGCACAAGGGGCTTCTTAATATGTATACCTATATACCTCTCTCTCTATATATATATGATCGATATATGCATCTTTGGATGATTGGTATTACAAATTTTCAGCTCATCATATTTACCGACGAGCTTCTCAAAGTGAAGGAGATGCTTTTTTGCAATGCATATTGCAACTGCCACGTTGCAATACAGCAAATCTGACTGCAATGGGAACATCAGTTAAAGAAACGTCACCAAGTGCCCGCTTCAACTGTAGGTGACCAAGAAATGAGAAAAATCATGTGTGTAGGATCACATGGACCTGAGTGCTTCACAGCGTGATTTCATAGCCACATTTTTGTGCTTTGGAAATATGTTTCTCTCCACTGAGTTGCTTTGCAGGGAACGTATCCTGGGCTGCATCACGAGAAGCGTGGCCAGCAGGTCGAGGGAGGTGATTCTGCCCCTCTACTCTGCTCTGGTGAGACCCCACCTGCAGTTCTGCGTCCAGCTCTGGGGCCCCCAGCATAAGAAAGACATGGACCTGCTCGAGCAGGTCTAGAGGAGGGCCACGAAGATCATCAGAGGGATGGAACACCTCTCCTATGAAGAAAGGCTGAGAGAGTTGGGGTTGTTCAGCTTGGAGAAGAGTAGGCTTCAGGAAGACCTTATTGCAGCCTTTCAGTACTTAAAAGGGGGCTTATAAGAAAGATGGAGACAGGCTTTTTAGCAGGGCCTGTTGCATCAGGACAAGGGGGAATGGTTTTAAACTAAAAGAGGGGAGATTCAGACTAGCTATAAGGAAGAAATTTTTTACAATGAGGGTGGTGAAACACTGGCACAGGTTGCCCAGAGAGGTGGCAGATGCCCCATCCCTGGAAACATTCAAGGTCAGGTTGGACGGTGCTCTGAACAACCTGATTTAGCTGAAGATGTCCCTGCTCACTGCAGGGGGGTTGGACTAGATGACATTTAAAGGTCCCTTCCAACCCAAACTGTTCTATTCTATGATTCTATGACTCTGTGAAACGAGGAAGCAATGATAGCTAGTGACGCATAGAGTCAAAAGGCAGGAAATAATTGCAAACTTTCCGTAATTATCCAGTAATATCAGGGCAAGTATGCAATTTCTAAAAATTCAGTAATATTCAGACTGCTCCACATCTATACACTTTCAGCACTTTGTATGGCTCTAGGCTGCATTAAAGCTTTGCTAATAAAATGTAAAAGGCCCATAAGTACTCTTGTCTCCAACATAAATGTGATGGGGCAATGGGAGAAGCTCAGGGAATGAGTAATGCAACTATTAGCAACCTCTGGGCTGCAGGCAGGTGAACGGGCTCTAAATAGCTGCACTGTGTTAGAGACCTGAGCCTTTCTGGGACCGTAAGCAGTGCAGAGGCAGCATCACCTTACATACCTCCCATTCAGATCTCCCTCCTTTGCCACTGAAATCTGAGGTAGGGGACACCCCTGCTTTAAACTAGAAATTGATACTGGATAAAACACGATCCAGTTAAGAGCCGTGGCCTCTGTCATGAAAAGCTCTTTTCATGGCATTTGCAGTGCAGGGAGTCAGGGTCTTCTGAGAGGGCCTTGAATTCTTTATTATTATTATTTTCCATTTCAGGTATGTCTGTCAGCAAGGAGACAATGATAAGCACATGCATTGTGCTCATTTATTTGTCCATCATGAGAAACTCTCGCTTCATAAACCTTCTAGTCTCAAAAAGGGAAAAGAGTTGGCTCTTACACTTGCTTCACATTCTCTGTGCTTACTTTTAGAAAAGGACACAATGATTTTAGAGCTGTGTATGACTTTTTTAGATACAAAAAGCTCAGATTCAACTCAATGCCTTGCTCCAGTTAAGTCTCCCAATATCCTACTAAACTTAATGTTTGCAAAATAATATTAATATTTGCAAAAACTTTCAATGAAAAATTATGTGCTTGAAGTCTTTGTTGAATCAGGGACACAGAAGCTGTGGAAACTTTTCTATGGAGTCTGCAATGTAGTGTCATTCCCAGAGGGAAGTGTCATTGCTCCTGTCACCAAAGAATGGGGCATGTCCACGTTACAGAGCTGTGTGTGCAGCGATCCCTGACTGAGTACAGCACAGCTCCGTGCCAGAACTTGGTGCTGTTTCCTTTCTCCTGGGCACCTTTCAGCTCTCTTCAGCTTCTCCTTTGGTGATGTTGGGAATGGATGTGGCACACCTGCAAGGGAGGACATGCCAATGGTGGGTGGTTTTCTTCCTGGCTAATGTGGAATCCAATGCCTGAGGGCATCTTCAATTTATCTCATGCGCAGTCTGGGTACCCTTCTACTACCATCAGAGATGGACTACCATGCCCAGTCCCCGCCGTATGTGTTCCCCATATCTCTCCTGAAAGAGAATACAGCGCAGAGGGGTTAAAAATTGCTTTCAAAATTAGTCTGTATTTATTGCATGCCATCTGATAGCTCCTACTTTATAAAGCATACTTACACACCACTCTGCAATGTCAGAGTCCGGTGAGCCCTCTCTAGATAGGCAGATGCAAGCATGACTGGTCATACTGGCCTGAAAGGCAGCAACTTCTTGTCTTGTTTAATGTGCTGAAAGGACCAACAAAAGAGCCCTGTGCAATATCCGTGTTGTAGCTGCACCACAACTCTCACTCTGGATATGGAGGTTTAGGCATGGATTTTCCAGGGGACAAA